CCATGAATTCCCTTGATGAATAACTTCCAGCAAATCACGCCACCACAAAGAACATCTGTTGTGAACTGATGAACGCTGAAGAGAAGAAGCTAATCTTCCATATCTAGATTCTAACACCCGCACCCACAATGAACTAGAACAGTTAACACCTCGCCACAACCATTTACCAAGAAGCGCCCAATTAAACCACTGCACATTCCTAATACCCAAGCCACTATTCTTCCGCGGTCTACATACAGTTTTCCATTTCACCCAGGGGATTTTAGATCCATCCTTAACACCCTTCCATAAAAAATTTCGTTGGATAGTGACAATTTCCTTTATTACCGACTTCGGCACCTTAAAAAAGGATAATGAGTGCAATGTCTTAGAATTAAGAACGACATTAATCAAAGTCACCCTACCTCCAATCGATAAATACCTATGTTTTCATGACGCTAACTGCTTTTTAAGAGCCTCTAACACACCCCCTTCCATGCACTAGGCTTTCTCGGGTTAACACCTAACTGTAACCTGAGATACTTTAATGGGAAACTACCAATCTTATAATGTAGGAACTCCGCAGCCAAGTTTTCAAAGTCATCACCAGTATTAATCCCCAATACAAAAGATTTATGGAAGTTAATTTTCATACCTGACATTAATTCAAAGCTACGCAATACTGCTTTCAAAGTTCACAAATTCTGTACCGAAGCCTCTCCCATAATCAATGTGTCATCCGCAAACTACAGCAAAGAAATATCTGGTCCCCCTTCCCCAATCGTCACACCAGAGAACAACCCACAAGTCACAGCCTTCCGCATAAGAACTCCTAACCTTTCCGCTGCCACAAGAAAAAGAAAAGGGGCAAGAGGATCCCCTGTTTTAGGCTCCGCTCAATATGAACCTCCAATGTAGGACAACCATTAATCAAAGCTGATAGGCTTCCCCCCCACACACAAGCTTCTATCCAACTGACCCATTTGTCTGAAAATCCAAAGCTACGTAACATAAACAAAAGATATCCCCACTCTATCGAATCATACGCCTTCTCATAATCAAGCTTTAACACAAAACACCTCTTATTATACCTTCGCACATAATCAACTGCTTCATTAGCCACAAGTACACTATCTAACATGTTCCTTCCCGGGATAAAGGCTGATTGTTCTTCTGAAATTTTCTTTTTTATCTCTTCTGTTTATATTCTATAATTTAACTATTGTGTCTCTCTCCTTTATGAGCATAAAAATAAGGAGAAAAAAAATAATTAATACTTTTAAAATAATAAAGAAAAACAAATTTTCTTCTAAAAAGTCTGGGGAAAAAAAAGAGTATACTTGGGGCTCATTTATTTAAGCTTTCAAAAATATTTTAAGTAAAAAAAGTTTGTTTATATTTAAAAATTTTGTGTAGGGTTTTTGTATGGTTATAATTATTAAAAAAAACATTTTTATTTTTACTTTTTATTGATATAATATATATATATATATATATATATATATATATATATATATATATATAAAGTCACTAGGCAATAGCACGACTTATAGTTTGGCATTGATGTTGTCTACAACCTGAAAGTTAGGGGACCGAAACCATTACAAACTTCATGTGTGTTGGTTCAAATATATTTCCTCAAGATTATGATTGATTCTTGACTTGTCCAATTATTATGGGAAATATGGCTTCAAAATATGAACAAATGGTTGGTTTAAAACAAAACTTGTGCCTTCACACTTTGTTTTTTGGCACCCAAACTTATATATGTTGTGCCAGTGGCCCAGCCTGTAAAGAGTTCTCCTTAGCACGATTTTAACTTGTATCAGATTTTTTTTTTTCATGAGCATTAAATTAAAAAAATCTTTCATTTTTACCTTTCCATTCTTCAAAACACCTCTTTACAGAAGTTGCACAAGACAATGATAACTTAAATGAGAAAATACCACACCTAAAGACAATACTTTTCTCTTACATTATGCAGACAAAGTGTGTCAAGAAAACTAGAACAATCATGTGCTACAATTCCAAATGAAGCTAGCAAGTCCAAATTGTCTTTTTCATTGCATTTTCTAACTTGCAAAAATCCTTTCTTAATCTCTATATAAGAAATGTTAGAACCATAGTCCTCTTTGATATATATTTTTTAATTAAAAATTATAAAAATGCTCATTAAATTAATAGGAGTATGGACTTGAACAGAGAAACTGTTAGTTATGTTTTTCTGTCTACAATTAAAGCAAAAAATCATTATTTATATAAGTTGCTTAAACAATTCTAGCTAAAATTTCAATGTCCTTTATATTTGTCCTGAAGTTTCAAAATATATAGCTGTAACTCACCGTACTATTTAACAAAACACCCCTAATAGTTTCTCTGTATTTTCCCTGGAGCTGGTTGTACCATGAGCCAAGGACTTTCGCAATAAGACACAACAACGCAACTATAATCTCTCTCTTTTGTCCTCGTCACCTTCCACTGTACTTGGTGGCTGCTAAAGGAACATGTTAACTTTAGCTTTTTAGGGAATAAACAACTAATAATTAAAAAACATGTATTCTATTTTATAACTTTAATAGAAGAAATATTTAATAAAAATATTAAAGCCTTTTTTGATGGAATAAGGCCTGCTAACTTTTTTTAAACAAATATACAGTTTGACGATAAAAATGATTCTCTTAATTTACGTTATCTCTTTCTTATGATTTTGACTTGAACATAGTATTAGTTAATTTGTGTGTGAAAAAAGGAAGGGTGCAATTTGGTGCTAAAATACTAAGTATTATTAGGACTTAGTTTGTGTCGTTGATTGCCAACCTTTTGACTTTGCCGGCGGATATTGCAAAAAACATATGACCTCGGTTGTATCAGTCAAAGAGGGCTGCCATTCCTTTTAGATTTTAGTGCCTGTTCACATTCTACAGCAGAATCACGTGTTTAATTAATGTTCTTTCTTCTTCTCTTCCAATATATCCTGTCCAATTAATATGTTTTTTTTTAGGTTTGGAATGAACTTTTCTACTTTTATTTTTTTAGAATTTTTTATATGATTAATATGTTAAGTATATATTCATTTTTAATTATTATATCAAAATATGATTTTTTAACATCAAATTTGTTTGTCTCTTTCTTTTATAATCTATCTTTCCAAACAACTTCTTTAGATTTGTTTAAAAGTTAGGTATTAAAAGAAAAATAAATCTACTAAAAATTTAAGATAAATAAACAATATTTAAAAACTAATTTATTATTTTATTTCTTTAATTTTAAAAATTTATTAAAATCTCCTGCTCTTTTAAAACTCAACTCACAAATATATCTTTAATTTTTTTTTCTAAAGAGAGGATGAATATTCTTTCTTTAAACACACTTATGTAATGAAAAAACAAAGATCAAGCTTAGGGTGAAAAACATTTCTTATACCAATTGACAAAGTTCTAACGTCTTTATAAATAGGCTTGAAGTTGCCAATAATTTTGGCCAAGATTTCTCAATCGTTAATATCAATGTTATTGTAAAGAATTATAGTCAGGGATTTTTAATCTCAAATTTAGATGTTTAAAAACATTACTTTTTATAAAAAAAATTATTATATTAAAATTATACAAATATAATAAATAATTTCTTTTTAATAAAATTTTACTACTATTAATTATTTACACTCATCCCCAAAAATTGAGCTAACTTTTTTACGTTAAAGGAGATAATTAAAAGAAATAGACCCCAATTGTTGCATTGGAGATTCTGTATCATCAATATAATTGATCAATGTGTGTCGTTAAATTAAAATTGAACAGCTGAGACTTTGATGTTACCAAATCCAATAATAACATATTACATGTAATTAAATTTCAGTTCTTCAATTTTTACACAACGACCCACAATAAAGGAGTACATTGGTTGTAAGATTTTCTTAACTAACTACAGTTTTATATTTATATTTTGTTTTTCTATTTTTTATTATATCATTAATTATGTCTTTATTTTATTTTTATATCTCTCATTCTTCCAGAGGGCAGTTCCCAAAGATTTTAAGATCTTAGACAAAATTAAAAAAAAACACTTATTATAATATAAATTATCCAAATTTTTTATTATTTTTTGAACTTTGAAATTATTAATTATAAATTTTATAATTAATTCTAAAATTTCAATTTTAATGGATAAATACTTATAATGATTTTTACTATCAAAAGAACTTTTTTAAAATTTAAATTCCATCTAAAATTAATTATGTTACAAGTAATGTTGAAAAATAATTATTTAAAAATAGTAATATATCAGTATTTTAATTTCTCTTGTTAATGCAGAATTGTTAATTTCAATAATAAATCAAGACTGCCAAAAGAATAAAAAAAAATAAAGAAAAATGTAGAATTTTTTTAAGATAAATAATTCAAAAAATAATATAATAGTAATATATCACATTATCATGATATTTTAAAGATTCGTTATTAAAAACGACTTCTTATATTAATTAATAATTCTTCATTTTTTAAATTATAATTTATAAAAAGTAAATATATAAAAAAAATGAGGCATAAAATAAAATAAAAGGCTAAAACAATTATCTTAAGTGTCCTGTAGTTCAGAAGGTTCTACTATACTACCACCCACAGTATACAGAAAATGTAGGTGTGAACTTACTTTTGTGCTTTCTTGGTTTAGCTTTTTGGTTTCATGTGAGCACATAATACAGGTAAATACCTTGGGCGTGCCTATTATGTATCGCACTCTCACGTACAAGACACGATTTTTAATATCTTATCAATAAAGTTAAAACTTTCTGACAAATTCAACCAAAACAAAAAGAAAACGAATTACGCAGCTAACTATAACGAAACCGCGTAGCCTTTGAATAACTTAATATCAGAGTTTCATTTTGTGTAAAGTTTAAAAGATTTTTCCTTAATTAAAAGTAATTAGTATAAGGTTACAAAAACAGGTCCAAGTTCGCGTCTCAACTTATTATATACCCCACATTCTCAAAACCAGAGACAATCGATCAAATAGAGAGAGAAATGGATGTTCTATCCTTAAGCTCAAACCTTAGCATTTCCAAGCCATTTAATTTCCTTCCACTAAAAAATAAACACCAAAATCCTTGTACACGGTTTACTGTTTCATGCGGCGCCACGAAACAGCTTCGGGGTGTGGACGAGACCACTAACTTGTACAAGATATTGTGTTTGAGTCCCAAAAGTGCAACCATGGATGACATAAAGAAAGCTTATAGATCAATGGCGCTTCGGTACCATCCTGATTTGTGCCTTGATGATTCCAAGAAAGAGGAGTCAACGAGGATGTTTGTGAAGCTGAATGCAGCTTACGAGACGTTGTCGAATCCAAGGCTTCGAGCTGAGTATGACCATGAATTGGGTTTGAGAAGCAATATTATGAGTGGTGTTGGTGATGAGAGTTGGAGGTGGCGGTGGCAGGAGCAAGTGGCTGAGTTGAAGAGAAGGTCTCATCGACGTACGGCACAAAAGGAGGAGGGGTCATGGGCCAATAGAATGAGGGCGCAAAACATGAGATGAAAGATCCTCGCTACTTTTCTTTCTCTCCTACCCAATGATTCAATTGATATTTCTTTCTTGTAAAATTCTTGAAGAATTGGTCAACATTTTCGAATTGATTCTTTCATTTATGTGCAGATCAAGGGTATGGTATTACTTTAATGTTAACTTGTATCTGCCATGAACACGGGGAAGGGGAAATGTATATCAATCTTTTATTCAATTTAATTAATCTTTGTTGTTTAAGTTATGGTTTTAACCTTTAATCACAAGTCATTCTTAAAATTGAAGAACATTCTCTGCTATAAATTCAAGGTTCATTTGGGATCTACATAAAAAAAGGTTACAATTTAATTTCTATAAAACTAAATATTTTTGTATTAACTATTATCATTAAAAAAATATTAAAGTCAAGATCAAAACAAAAAAAAAATATATTTATGTAAAAACTAAAATGTAAATGTCTACTATAGAACTATAGATACTAATATATAAAAGTTATGAAATTTTAAAAAACTGAAAGTTATATTTTTAAGCAAACTTATATTTAGTATAGTTTTATATTCTAAAGATAGTAATTTTTTTAAAATATTTTATAAAAATTAATATACAATAAAAAATATAATAAAAATATTAATATTGATATTTTATTCGTTTATTTAAACGTATGATAAAAGATAAATATATAAAATAAAAAATTATTAATTTAAGTTTTTGAGATTGAATTTTGTTAATCTTGTATTTAAAACACACTTGATTATTGACTAATAAAAAAATTTACTTTAGTTTACGAAATTGTGTTAACCTCATTCTTTTATGTTTAGTTTAAATATTTAAAAGTAAGAAAAAATTATTAAAAAATAATGCATATATTATGCTGACATGAGTTAACGAGTAAGTGATGCATGAGTGAGTGAGTCTTTTTAAACTGTTAAATGTATTTTTTAAAAATAAACAGTCTAAATATTTGACCTATAACTTAATAATACTATTTTTTTATATATTTATGATTTAATCATTCGTAAAAATTTGCAAAATTACTCTTTAGACTTACAAAACTTGTTATTTTATATCTTTAAACAGTTATATTGATAGTCATTTTTTTTATCTTTTCCAAGCAAATCTAGGATGTATCATATCTATGTGGTGATTTTAAGAAGGTTTGCATTTACATGCATTGATATAGTTTCAATTTATAATAAAAAATAACTTTTGAATTATTAGAACGTTGAATATTATATTAAATCTCTAGGTTTTTTGTAAACCATATGTATGAAGTTTATGATTTTCAAAATTAACATTTACATCTACTCTTAGTCTTAACTCATCGTAAAAATTAACTTTTGTATTGATAAATTGATTAATAGATTGTTTAATATCAGTTTAGGTCTTCTCTATACCATTCCTGCACATTGGTCACATATGCTTTGCATAATTTATGCAATTGTTGCTTAAGCCATATTTTCCTTGCTTAAGCAAAATTACAGTAAAAAAATAGCTCAATAGTTGAATATCACTTAAGCAGTTATTAATTCGCTAAAGCCACACAAGATTTTTTAATATTCTCTTAAGCGAATAAAGTCAGGCTTAAGCAAAGATTAAGTAAGAAAGCTTTTAAGTTATATCATATTTTTGCTTAAACCAAATTATTATGACTTAAGCAAAATTGATCTGGCTTAAGTTAAAAATAATGACTTAAGCAAATATTGATAAAATTTGTATATTTATCATTAATGGTATAAAATTAGTTTAAGTGAATACAATATAATTTAAGCAAAAATTAAATAGAATGATTTTTTTGTATTTTTATAATGTTAAACTACATCTCTTTAATCATTATCTCTATTTTGATTTAGACAAGTTATTTATTTCTAAGAGAATTCCTAAGAGAATTAAGATCACCGGTAGAAAAATTGAATGTAGAAGACAAAATTTTGTCTCTAAATATGCCAATTTTCTTCTCTGATAGATTTAGAGACAGAATTAGAGACAAATATTTTGTTACTAATATTAGCATCGCAATTGTATTAGCGAAGAAAATTTAGTTTTGTCTTTATTTAGGGACGTAAAAGTTCTGTCTCTAAATAAAGGTACAACTAAATTTAGAGACAGAACTTTGTTTTTTAATATTATTATAAGTACAACTTATTATTTTTTAATATATGCATATATGATGTTAATAGTTAATATTAAAAAGGTAAACATGCCTTAATGAGAATAAACCAGTAAAAATATTTAATACATAGTTTAGTTTAAACAGAAACAATTTCTTAATTTAATGAGATGACTTTTATGAAAAAAATTCAATTTTAGTGCATTATCAATAAAAAAAATTTTACATTGTCAATCAATTTAAAATATATCAAAAATATAAATTTTATATTATGTAATAAATTACACGAGGACTGATACATATGACAACACGACTTTTAAAAGCCTTTATCATATAAAGGCAATTCAAGGAGTAATCCCTAATAATTGACTATGATAAATAGTAATTTGTAATAATTAAAATAACATACTTATCAAATAAATTATTTATCAAACAATCACCCCTTCTATATGATACAAGTTCAAGTCATATATTTAACTACAATTTACAATCACTCATTTTCTTAAGTGCGTTTTCATTAAGTATAAGAAATAATTTATATACAATCATAATATATAGTTGCAACTTATATTAGATAAAAAAATATTTAGGTTGTGTTTGAGAATATTTTAAAATTTAACAATTTAAGTATTTGGATGGTAAAAAAAGAGTTTTAAAATATTATAAAATTTTAACTAAATATATTTTATATTAAATAAGCATAATTTTAAATAACTTATTTGAGAGAATTTAAAAATATTTTTATTATACTTAATTTTTTATATTTTTTGTATTTGACTTCTACTCTATTTTCATTATTAAAATTGCTTTTAAAAAACGACTTTAGGTTACATGTGTATTGCGGTCTATGACTGAAACGCATTATTAAAATAAACAAAACTTACGTTGCTTCTTATTCAACATATGGTTTTCTTTTGTTATATTTGGCTAGAGTCACATACTTTATTATATCGTTAGAAAAAAAAAATTGAACATTGACAGTTGAATATAGTATAAATAAAATTAATCTTATATATATATATATATGAAATTATACATTTACTGTTTAACTTTAAAGTTTATCGATTTAGTTAATATTATTTTTATCAAATTTTAAAAATCATAATTATTCTTATTTTATATGTCTGCCATAATATGCTCTATTAAAATACTTTTTGGAAACAATTATTTGTGACAAAAACACATGAGATCATTTGTTTGAGAAAGCAACGAAACAACATGATTAAGTCATTAAACATTCAACCATTATTTTGCAATAATTGATTAATATAGTATACATTTGAAGTAATGATTGATCCCAAAATGAAAAATTACTTCAATATTTAGAGTTCTTAGTGCTTACGCAAAGCAAAAGATTTTTTTTAATATCTTTTAAATAGCTTTACTCTATCTAAATCACACTTCACCTATGGAGTATCTTAAATAAAAATTATTCTTATTTATTTTTATTTTTATGAGAGCAAAAAATGTAGTGTGTATTCATTCTATAGAAAATGTTTTCACAAATTTAATTTTAAATTTTAAATTATTTTCATTTTTTTTCCAGAATTGAGACCGGTTATAAGTTTATAGGCAAAGTTCAAAATTTTGACTATATATAAAAATTAAAATTAATATTAGTTAATTTTAATCTTAATTATTTATATATGATTGATTGGTCAACATTTATCAAAATAAGTGAGTGAGGGAGGGGTTGAAATTTACATACATAAACAATGAAACTATAATTTAATGTAGGTATTTAATATGAAATTGAATACCTTCTTTTTCAGGAAGGTTAACTAAGTTTTAGAATAATTGTTTTAAAAAATAATAATATATTTTTTTCTATATTAGGTCATACTAAAGCAAGTTTTAGTATAACTGATGTAACATGACAGCCCAAAGAAATTTATCAACGGGGCTTTAATAGAAAACTTGTCTCTCAGAAAGATGAAGAGATGCCATTCTAAGAGTTTATTTGATTTAATTTTGTTCTTCAATTTTTAAAAATTATATTTTAAAATTATTTTATAAAATTATTTTTAAGAAAACAAATAAAAATAATATTTGTTTGATAACTTAATTTTTAAAACTACTTTTAGTTAAGCTTTTATTAGATTTAAAAAGAGAAATAAAAACATAAAAACAAAAACACCTTATATTAACAAATAGTAATTCTATTTTTCAATTTTAAAAACTAAAAACAAAAAGTAATTCTATCTTTCAATTTTAAAAACTAAAAATAAAAAATAATTTTAGAAACTTATATTAACAAATAAGTTTTTTTATTTTTAAGAATAAAAAATTATATTTAAAAAGAGAAAACAAACAAGCGTTAAGACTTGTTTGTTTTCACTTTTAATTTTTAAAACTATTTTTAAGAATAAATAAAAATAAAACTTATTTGTTAATTTAATTTTTTTAAACAAACAAATTCATGTAAAATTTATTACGTATTATATTAAAAATAAAAATACAAAATATTTTTAGAAAATAGTTTTTAAGAATCACGTTAATAAACAAGTTTTATTTTATTTTATTTTTTACTTTTAAAACGAAAAGATCATTTTTAAAAACGAAAAATAAAACAAGCCCTAAACATTTTCACATTCTAAATGCCTATCACAGAAAGATTATTCTGTAATGTCATGAACTTAAGAAAATTCTAATACAACACTATATGCATATACTAAGTGAGAAATAGAGAGATGATATATATATATATATATATATATATATATATATATATATAATGAAAAAGAAAATTGAAGTGAAAGAGGTAGAAATATTAAATAAGAGTTTGAGCATTATTATTAATTCTATAATTTGCTGATGATGATTGCAGAATGTCATTGCTATTCTAGTGGTAAGCGTAGGACATCAAGGAAGGTAAACTCCATTATAACTTAGTCCATCAAATCATGAAGTCATTTTTATCTTTGTTTTGCAATCATTGAGCATATATTATAAAGAAAATAAGTAAGATAAAAACAGTTAAATCCGAAGTATAATAAAAGCATAACATATTGTTTTCTCTCTTGATTTGTATACATCAACTGGGGCTATAAATCGAAGAGAATCAAACGAAAATACCAATGACAAATCTACATGACCCTCTTCTCATTAGCTTTCTAATGAGCTCCCTGAACAGCTTCCCACTTACAACATCTTTGATTTCAACGGTTATTTTCTAATTTTCTTCATACTACTTCTTCACCCTTTGGACCAAAAATTGAAACAGCATCAGCCACTGTTAGAAATATTTTATCTTGACCAATTATGTCTGTTAACTTGGATGCGTGGAGCTTCTCCATTACAATGGGCCCCGGGTTTGCCAAGATAATCTGGGAATAAAGCATAGAATGAATTTCATCACAATTATTTATTACTAGTTGTTTTGTATTACACAATAATAATAATAATAATAATATCATTATTGATGATATTGTTTGCTCACAACCAAGTCATTTGATTAATTAATTGACTAAGCTATGTTACAAACATTTGTGGCTAATTTTAAGACGCCAGGACAAAGCTTGATTTGTAACTAGAGATTTTTCCAGTAGAATTACTATAGTAATTAGAAATTTCTACTGATGTATAAAGTGTTGAATTCTGTGATTATGCATTACCTGGACTTCTCTTTTCTGAAGGTTCTTGTATAATTCTTCAAAGGCGTGGATGCCACTAGTGTCAATATCGGTAACAGCTGCAAGAATATGGTGGCGTGAATAAGTTCATTCATCAAAATTTAACATGGAAAACAGGATGAAAGGATTTCATAAAAAAGCCTTACGTGACATTTCAATAATGAGATACTGTATACTGGGCAATCCACTACTGGTCCTTTGGGCTTCTTCGTCAGTCAGCCATCTTAAAATTCTGAAAATTATGATTGAATTATTCAATAGCTCAATTCAATCAAGTGAAACCACAATCTACACTTTCCTAATCTTGATCTGGGAGTATCTACAATCTTGAAGATAATATTATGTCTCAAGGGTCATGGTTCAAATTTCAATACAATTTTTAGAAATAAAACATAAGCAAATGCTAAGGCATATATGGCATTAGGTTTGTTAGGATCAGAGGAATAACTGTGTCCAATTTCCAACAGACTGCTCAAGGTTCTTTAGTTGTCATATTAGCCATTTATAGTTACCATTTAAAATTATGGGTGTACAATTCTACATGCACACACATAATTTTCAGGGATAGAAGTTAATTACCTCTCCTTTATATAGTTGGAGTTTGAGAAGTAGATTGCAGAGTCAACCCTTATAATCAGCATCCCAGTAATCTGGGTCGCTTTGGGGTATTGCTGGATGTTCCTGTAAATAGTAGTTCCTGGAAGTTTCCCTAGTACTGCAGTCCTTGGCCTTGTCACTTGCAAAAGGATTTTGGCAAAAGATATAGCCACCTTCATAAATAAGGTTAAGTAAATATTAAAAATACTAAGGTGGGGCAAATTGAATACGCAAAAATGGTTGATTTTTTTATTACCGCAATTAGAAGGCCAATCTCAACACTTTTGAAGACCACACCAAAGAAGGCTCCCATGCAAGCCACAAAATCAAATTTGTCTATCTTCCACAGCAGAATAACTGCTTCAATGTTCACGAGGTTAATCACAGCAGCTATTATAATTGAAGCAAGCACCGCATTTGGAGTGTACTTAAACAGTGGTGTAATGAGTATCAATGTTAGTAACAAAACTATGGACATTATGATGTTTGATACAGCAGTTTTACAACCAGCCATGTAATTCACTGCTGAACGAGAAAAAGATCCTGCATAAACATCACAAATGCTTATTAAGATGAAGGTGATAGGATAGGCAAAAAGTTTTACAAGTTTTCTAGCAGAGGCTAAAACATGATTTGAGTAAGTCATCTTTTTTGTAATTGTACCTGTAGTCACATAACAAGATGTAAGTGAACCAATAACGTTCATTGTTCCCATTGCTACCATTTCTTTGTTACCATCCAGTGAATAGTCTTTCATGGCAGCAAATGTTCTCCCAATTGCTACAGCTTCCTAAAGTACAACAACTTTGGCTCAAGTCTCAATCACAGAAAGGAAAGAAAAGGGGTGAGGAGTCAACAGCAAAATTTTCTTACCGTGAGTGCTATCATACCAGATATCACACCAATCCTAACACCAGCACCCAGATATTTTCCATTGAAAAAAATCTCACTAGCAGATGATGGATTCAAACCCTTCTTAATATGTTTCACCTGAAATACCATACTTTCAGTTTCATAGTGCTTAGTTTTGTTTTAAAGTATTCAATCGATTTTATGCTACTTACAATCGATACTCCTCTTTTGTCAGCCCTGGTAATGTAGACAAAAAAGGTAGACACTATAAGAGAAATCATTGGAGAAATTGCGGCCACCCAAAAGAGTTTCTTGTTCTTTTTAGCCTGTCCATTACAACAGCACAGTTATGATAATGAAAGTTCTAAAGGAAAGGAAAAAGAAATCAAAAGGAAGATAAGTGGTTGGTGGCATTCTTACAATATACTTAGTTGTAAGAAGGAAGACCAAGAATGCTGTTCCAATGACAATTGTCTCCCAATTCCACTGCAAGAAAAGATTAACGCAAATGTTTGTGAACCCCATTTTACTTTTTCATCTATACTGAGAGAATTTCTAAACAAAATGAAGCTTTACCCCATGGTGCACTGTACTCCAAACTGAGCGCATGACAGAGACAATATCCGTTTTCTTAGTGAAATTTTTTATGCCAAGAAAACCTTTAAGCTGTTGTAATGCAATAGTAATGGCAGCTCCACCCATGAATCCCACAATGGCAGCATGAGAAAGGAAGTCAATTAAGAAACCAAGCCTGAAAAATTCACACATAGATTGCAACACAAAAAAGTATTTAGACAAAGCAAGAAAGAACAATGCATGATAATCATATACCAACCCAACAGTACAACACCTGAAAACTCCAAGTGTCATTTGAGTGATTCCAGCAAAGAAGGTGGCAGTAAAGGCTAGACGCAGGTAATCATGACTTGTGGTGTCACTAATCTCATCTGAAAGCAAAGATCCAAGCAAGAGGGACACCACAGCTACGGGTCCTATGGCAATATCTCTTGAGCTTCCCATGAAAGCATACACAAGAGGAGTCACAAAACTGCTATCTGCGCAAAGTGAAGGAAAGCAAGTCATATAATGTAACTGAAGAACTAATAACGTGTCCAATTTGCCTTAAAATAAATCAAGATGCTCACATAGTGCATATTGGGGGTCCAAATTTGCAAGCTTTGCGTATGCAATGTCCTGCCATGCATTCATATTTTAAGAAGTAAGCATCGAAAAAACATACGAATATTTATGAGATAAATAAATATACATACAATATCATTCAAAAGTTACTACTTACCTGAGGTATACAAAGACTTGCAATGGTGAGTCCAGCAACCAAATCACCTCTGAATTTCTTAAGATCATAACCTCTCCCCCAGTCAAAAATGGGAAAGACAGATTGAAGGCCTAGAACAAACTTTCTAGACTTGGTTTGATCCTTAAATTTTTCAAAGGGGTTGTCTGAGAAGAAAGTCTCTATGACAGAATGTTTTATCTCTTGGAAAAGTGTCTGCTTAGGAGGTGCTCCCACCTTGTGAATATGTGGCAAAGTATCTCCATGTCTACGTGAAGAAGGCCCACTTCTTGTTTCCCCCATGGCCTTTGCCACAACCTCGTCACTCACACGCTGACTCATTTAATAACCTGCAAAGTAAGGAACACAGTGTTATCTACAAAAAGCAACTTGAAATGCTGCATGGTCACATTTTATCATGCCAAGATTAACTTAAAAGGAATCATGTCAGTATCTCAGTCTAAGTTAGATAAAGAATATACTTGAAATGAAAAGACAAAGGGAGAGTACCAAATGATGTTGCAAGAGCAAATACCCCACAAACTTGTTGTTTTTGTGACAAAGCTAAAGCATATATATAGCGTCAGAAATGAGAAATGTTATGAAAAATGTACCTTATGTGAAATATAAGGCTAGTGCTTAATTTAACAAAATATAGTTCTGTTATTAATCCAAGTCAACCATACCAATTTGATATTCTTTAAGATTTAGTGGACAAACGGTTCTACAATTTCTTCATTGTTTAAGTGGGTGGGCGGAAAGGTTAAATGAGAACATATAAATTAACGGGGTTATGAGAAAAACATATTGTTCTAATATGGGCTAAAGATTTTGCAGAAAAATGACACCTTGATACGCTTAATTATTGCAGTTGACCAAAATTCTCCATTACTAATTTACCCATTGGGTGGGAGTGTCTTCGGTTTCTTTCTTCTCGAATGTTACATGCTAGCTAGCCATTCAATGAATGTAGTAGACTCGTAGTTGAGGTAGAGACAAGTGATCGTGCAATGAGTTAGAAAATGACTGAACCAAAGAATAAAGCAGCATTTCACTTCAATTTCCATAATAATTCTAATTTCTCTTACTCGAAATCGGTATCAGATAGTTATAAGTTAAAATCTATATAAAAAACAAACGTTAAAGGTTCTTGGAATAGGAGAAAAATGAGCTAATTATCCTGATGTATTTAAATTTGTCTCACGCTCGATTAAACCTATTTATTTAATTGAATAAATAAATTTAAGCTAAAAATTAAGATTAATTATATTTTTTTATTATTATCATTTGTGTATTATTTGCTTAATTTAAGTTTTTAAGAGTTGTATTTTAAACGAATGATCAATTTTTTTTTAAAATAAATATATTACTTTCATAATAATTTTTTTTATTTTAAATCTGAAGCAATCTTTATGCAGATAAAATTTTTAATATCTCATTAATAATTCTGAATGTTCCATAAAATTTTTTACAATTCTTTTTACTTACAAACAGATATAATAATACTCGTTTACAGTTGAAATAAATATGATTGAAGTTTTGTTAGCAGAGTTTATAAAAAATAAAATAAAATATTTTTCTAAATTGAGAAAACCCAAACATTTAATTAATACGCAGAGACACTGTATGAATGGAGCCTTGATTGTGTCCAAGTTCGTGAAAAGTTGAAAGGGTTGAATTTCAGTGTAAGCTATGATATGAAAGGAGTGCAGTCGTTGAATGCTAATTTTTAAACATGCGATAGCGGCACCATGAAAGCAAAGCTGGGGTTTGTAGCTGTTTCGTGATGCAAACCAGTTATTATATATTTACTGCCTTTATTTCAGAATAAATACACAAAAGTTGATTATATTTAATAATTAATAAAACACACTGATTTCAAGTGGTCTTGAAAAGTTGGATACCATAATCTTCAATTATAAAACGATAGAATTAGAGAGAATAGATCCACATTCATATGTTGTTATACTTAAAGGTATAGTTAATTGGATCATTATTATTATTATTATAAAAAATATACTTCAACATAGTTGAGTTTAAATAATTAATATTAATTTTTTTATTAAAAGATATTTAAACGTAATAAGTATTATTTTGATATGTTTAAATTAATATTAAAAGTTTTTATTAATAAAGTTGTATTATTATTTTATAAATATATATTTTTTTCTCAACAAAACTCTGACAAAAAATTATATTGAACTAAACAAGTATCCAAGATGCAGATTTTTTTTAATTATTTCGTTACTTTCGTAAGCACCTATATATAATATTCATGAATTTATTATTATTATTATTAATCTTGTATGTTGAAGTAATAAAACTAATGTCACCAGATGGCATACTTTATATATATTACTCGTCAACTTCATTTTGGCATTTGTTTTATTTACGGATAGTATACTCCTTTCTATCACCCTTACTTATTTATGCATATATATGAGTTGAAATACAAAGTAATAATAGAATATATGATTAAAAAATATACACTCTGGCTTATAAATAAAATACAGAAAGAGGACTGTAAAAACATCCGTCTTTATTTATTATTTTCTCTAATTCTATTTATAAGAATAACGATCATTATTTTTAAAATTAAAAAATAAAATTTATTTTTAAATCAATAAATTATTATTATTTTATTATGAGATTTGTAGTATTAAATTATTTATTTATTATTTATATAACTAGAAATATTATTAATTTAATGTATGAAATATTTATTTGACTATTGATTATTATAAGTTTATATAATTATGTTTATTAATTTTAATAAATTAATAATGTAAGATAACCAAGAAATTTCCCAGATAGAGAGTAAAGATTTCGACCACATCGTGGCTGAAGATGCAGGCAAGTTTTGCAAGTTCCGCTTTATAATGTGGTCAAAGAAGACGGAAAAATGATTATGTTTATTTGGTTGTTAAACAAAAGGAAAATATTGCTTTTGAATTTTGATGATGCAAGACATGAAGACATGCATTACCATTATTTTCTTTATTCTTATATCCCTCATTTAAAGTTTTTGTTAAACCTGAGTTTTCTCTTTTCTATTTTAGGTTTTCTTTATTTTAATTAGTTAATATTTAATTCATTAATAATTTTTATCTTCTTAATTTATTTAATTAATGATTAGTTTTTTCAATCCACACCGAATATAATGAGACACTTGTAGTCATTAGTAAAATGATTTTATGTTAATTAAATCAAATTTAATTATGAGATTTTTTAGAACATAATATTTTAAATGCATGTATTTTATTTGTTTAATTCAAAATAATATTTTATTAATTGGATTAGTATCTTTTAAATTTATATTTTCATATTTACATATATTTTAAAATATTTATATAATAAACAGAATACGTGTTTGTTATAAACAAATTTAAAAGGTTGAGAAAACTTTTTTACCTTGTTTGTGGGTGAATTCAATAATACGATGTCCACATTCATTGAATATCCTGAGACGTAGTCCTAATTAAAGTTTAGTTTTGGTTTCTCAGCAATCGCCACGCCATAGTTCATTGTTCTCTTCTTTTATGATTAAGTCACAATTTTATTTATCAATCATCGAGCTTTTTATAATGATCCACTTTGTCATTATTATTTTTATAAAGTAAATATTAATTAATATTTTTAAAATACTAGATAATATTTCATAGTTAAGGAATCTTTGGGTTATTTAATCGCATGATTAAGAGGTTACGTAACCCAAACAATTTGTTTGATTTTTACTTAATGAATTATATTTTGTTTTCTTAATACCTGTTCAAAAAACAAAAAAAAATTGAAAAGTTAGAGCTTGTTTGTTTTGTGTTTTTAAAAATATTTTTAAATAAATTTTATTTGTAATTTTAAGAAACACAATTTTTAAAAATTAAAAAATAAAACAAAAACAAACAGCCCTAAATAAATATTTTTCTTATAAATAATAATAATATTTAAAAGAAATATTTTAATTTTAATGGTGTAAAGCAAAATGGAATAAAAAGAAACGTGGAGGGAGAGTAGTGTTCCCCGGAGGTGGAACGAGTTGACGGAGCCAACAACCTCGTTCTGAGATACGTACGAACCCAACCCACGCACGAGGCCCTGTTTCCCACGTTGGCCTCACAATTTTCACACATTTAGTTGTGTGAAAATAACAAAAATGACTCCAATTCTTAAAATAAGAAAAATGATTAGGTTGAGTAAAAGCTCACATTCCATATGGTGAGTCCAATTGATGAAGGTGCATACAAGAAATGATAGGCTTTAAGAGAAGGGAAAGAACATAAATGCTGAAGACTGTAAAGCACAAGTAAATTTCGATCTTACCGCCTCATGTTTGGAGCTTCGCTTCCTCCCTTTGTTCTTCTTCGGTTGAACTAAACTATTCATTCACTCATTCATCAGCTTTTAATTTGAATTTGCTTATGCTAACTTTTTGGAATCTCTCACTAACACAAAACAGCTGAACATGCATTCTAAGTATAGATATGCATATATAGTTGCTGTTAAGTTTGTGTGTTCTCCGTTAACTTCAAATAGAGTTTGAATTACATATTTGATTGAAAACATAGAAAAAGTCGTTTATTAGTTGTTTACTATATTTAATTATTCAAACAGACTTGATAAAAAAATCACAAATATTTTATAAACATATGAAACAATTATTTTATCAAACAAACGATCCATTAACCAAAAATGGTCCCATATATAAGCTATAATAGATGTCAGCTTCTTATGAAGATCGAAAACCCCCTATAACACCAAAAACAGCAATAGAAAATGATCATTTCATTTTCAGGTTAAAGATAATAGAGGAATATAAATATATATATTGTAAAATCTATTGATTTATCATACACGGAACATTAATTTAAAACTCTTCTGAGTCTGTTTGTGCTGGTGAGAATTAAATAATAATGATGATTACCAACCTGAACCTAGGTGCTTATTGAGCAAAGTTCATATCAGATTCTGATTCTTAATTTAGACATGAATGGAAGATTGAAAGGAGGGTTTTGGATATATGTTGTTGATTTTTTCTTCGATGTCTCTCTTAATTTATAATTGTATTCATTTGTTGTTGTTTTCCTTTTAGGTTTCATTCATAATTCCATAATGTACTATGCCAATGCAATTTTAAATGTTGGGTTTCACAATATAGAGAGGGAAAGAGGAAGAGAGAATGGTGTCAATGACTCAACAGGATTTCTCTAATTATTATTGTGAATTTCAAGATAAAATAGTCCATTTCATCATACAAGAAAGACAGATTAAGTGGCTTTAATTTTTGATATCTTATTTTATGCAAAATATGTTGTTCTTTCCTCAGATGTGTTTAACGGTAATCCAGT